TAAGTTCTAACTATTCGGAAAGGTATACAGATTATGTTTGCACATATGTACAGGGTGAGTCAACGATAGTAAAGTCCATTATCTCATTTGTTTCGAGGTTTACCAAAAAATGTTAAATACAAAAGTTATAGGGAAGATTAAAATACACATTTTAAAATTATTATAGAGTATACAGGGTGCTTCAAAAAAGTGTAGCGGATATAACATATGTTTTTTTAAAGGCAACAACCTATTTTTTATTTCATTTTTAGATTCTGCGTAAAATTCTATAACTTTTTTATATATAATGTTATATACCTAAAATTAATAGTTTTTGTAATATTTAAATTTGTTTATACAAATGTTAAATTGCAGTGTGGTAAAAAATTGTCAGTGGTACCATTGTTTCTGAAGTTGGAATACCAAAATTTGGTATGAGAGTTCTATAGAGATTAAAAGGAAGATATATGTTAAGATATTTTAGTTAAATTCTACAGGGTGTTCAAAATATATTTATAAATTTCAACTATTTAAAATTAAAAAATCTAAATTTTTTTAAATGGTACACCCTATATATTTTGATTTTTTCTGATAGATTTTGCAAAGCTCTTCAACTTTTATTAAGTATGTCATATACCTATTTTTAATAATTTGCGATTTATTCCAATTTTTTCTATTTTTACCTATATCTTTAATACAATTACGCTATAACATTAAAGTTACCATGACAAAAAATAATAATTATTATCAAAATTTCATATGTCTGTTAAGCAAGTTAAGAACAAAAGGTGAATTTTAGTTTAATTTGTTGTAATAAGTATAAATGTTAGAGGTAGAGGTAATAGTTTCAGATTTTCCTGAAAATGGATTAGTCAATGTGACTGATATACACGAACAAGCCAAAATAAACATATTTTTTGGTTCAGTACTATATATTATATAGTACTTTGCTAAGTACTACAAGAATAGATGTAGATTATCTAGAGAACATTTTCATATTATATTATATTATAATATTTTCAGTGTGTAATGGGACGGTTTTGTGGCAGTAGTAATATTGGCTTTACGAAATGAATTATAAACCAGAATTACTACGAGAACAAAAACTTTACTGTATGTCGGAGAAAATTTCAATATCAGTAGTCGTCAACAATTAGGTAATTTAGTTAGCATTACCATAATCTGTGGCTATTCGGCCCGATGGAAAATCCAAATGTCATCTTTCATAATATAGAAATACACCAAGAAATTCACGACTACGATTTTAGTTTATTTGAGTAAAGTTAGTTAATTTTGACTAATAATAACTTGTAAAAACTAACTAATTGTAACTGATTATTAAACTACTTATTAAAAATAAGTAATAAATATGTTTGTTTTGTTACGGTAACTATGATGTTATAGCGTAATTTTATTAAAATTAGGTAAAATAGAAAAAATGGAATAAATCGCAAACTATTAAAAATAGGTATATGACATACTTAATAAAAGTTGAAGAGATTTTCAAAATCTATCAGAAAAAATGAAAATTTATAGGGTGTACCATTTAAAAAATTTGAGATTTTTTAATTTTAAGTAGTTGAAATTCATAAATATATTTTGAACACCCTGTAGCATTTAACTAAAATATCTTAACATATATCTTCTTTTTAATCTCTATAGAACTCTCATGCCAAATTTTGGTATTCCAACTTCAGAAACAATGGTACAACTGACAATTTTTACCACATTGCAATTTAACATTTGTATAAACAAATTGAAATATTACAAAAACTATTAATTTTAGGTATATAACATTATATATAAAAGTTATAGAATTTTACGCAGAATCTAAAAATGAAATAAAAATAGGTTGTTGCCTTAAAAAAAACATATGTTATATCCGCCACACTTTTTTGAAGCACCCTGTATACTCTATAATAATTTTAAAATGTGTATCTTAATCTTCCCTATAACTTTTGTATTTAACATTTTTTTGTAAACCTCGAAACAAATGACATAATGGACTTTACTCTATCGTTGACTCACCCTGTACAGGGTGGTCGAGATTGGTCTGTTTTAACAGAGAAACCCTATTTCCTGACTAGATAGAGCAAAACCGACATAAATGTCATGGGCTCGATTTCTGAGACACGTTTAATGGCGTAAACCGCCTGTTGATATTTTCACTGCCAACTGAGATACGGGGTCTTTTTGAATTTTTTTCCATTTGGAAAATTGCCCATAACTTTTTTATTTCGCGAAATAATAAAATTTTGTAAAAACGTTCGAGGTTCAAGGTCAAGGCACTTTTTTAAGCACAATCCAGTGGCGTAGTCAGTTTTTTTCTATGCTTGCTATTTTCATCGGAAATAATAAAAAATATAATTTTTTAAACGGAAATCATAGTTGGCTATGAACTTAAAACGATGGCGTTTAACCCTTTCCAACGATATAAAGTTATGGGTATCTATTTCTAAGAATGAGAGAAATATTAGTTTTTTATCTTTATATCGAAGCGGGCCTTGATTTTGTGTTGGCCTATTTGCCTAATTATTTTTTATCACAATTTAATATTCTATATTATTACTTATCTGCATAATTAAAGACTTTTGAGAAGGTAAATTAACATTCTATATTAGTATTAGTAATTACAATTGAAATATATACAATAAACAAAGAACAAAACTAAAAAGTATTTTTTGAAAGACGAATAGGGTTTTCTAAAAAAAGTCATTGAAATCGTCAAGAGTTACAACGATTTATTAGGAGAACTGATGTAATAATTCCAAAAGCTTGCCTAGTAGTCTTCTGTAATTCTTCTCTTGTGCCAATGGCTCTTTCCTTATATATAAGGTTTTTTAATTTCCCCCATAAAAAAGTCGAGAGGAGTTAAATCACAGGATCTAGCAGACCAAGATATGGGCCCCTTGTATATAGACCAAGATATGGGCATAAATAATAATAATATAGAATATTAAATTGTGATACAAAATAACTAAGCAAGTAGGCCAACATAAAATCAAAGCCCGCTTCGATACAAAGATAAAAAACCTAATATTTCTCTCATTCTTAGAAATAGATACACATAACTCTATATTGTTGGAAAGGGTTAAACGCCAGCATTTTTTTAAGTTCATAGCCAACTATGATTTCAATTTAAAAAGTTATATTTTTATTATTTTTGACAAAAAGAGCAAGTATAGAAAAAAACTGACTACGCCACTGGATTGTGCATAAAAAAGTGCCCTTAGAACGTTTTTACATAATTTTATTATTCCGCGAAATACAGAAGTTATGGGCAATTTTCCAAATGGTAAAAAATTCAAAAAGACCCCGTATCTCAGTTGGCAGTGAAAATATCAACAGGCGGTTTACGCCATTAAACGTGTCTCAGAAATCGAGTCCACGACATATATGTCGGTTTTGCACTAACTAGTCAGGAAATAGGTTTTCTCTGTTAAAACAGACCAATTTCGACCACCCTGTACATGTTTTTTCATATTGAAGAGGTCAAATTTATTTTAAATGTCGAAAAAATAAAAGAGACAGTTGTTTCATTTTATAAATACAATTTTATTGTCAATTGATATGTCCACGAATTGTGTGTCCACGAAATACGTTGACACGAAGAGGAAAAAATAAGTTACTTTTATTTTAAGACAAAAAGTCAATATTTAACCACTCGGTATAAGATCCGGTGGCAATTCGCGGCAGCCAGTGGCAATTATATTATATGCAATATACTTTAAGCAACAAGTATTATCATGCCGTTTAAGAGTAGTTAAAAGTCTTAAAGAGTGACAAGCAAAAATGTAAAAATACTATTTTTGTTGCCTTCAAATAAATTGCCACAAACTAATATTACTTAGGTTTAATTAAGTGCAAAAAAGGAAAAAAAACAGTTCTTTTTACCTTCTTTTCGAACGTCCATTACAGAAAAGGCAACAGCTTTTATCAATTTTAATAAAATAAGTAATTAATTGGCGTTATATCAAATCTGTTTATGTCAGCTTTTTTTTATAATTGATTTATTTTTGTTTCCTAAAATATATAAAAGTCACGTGACTAAAAGTTTATTTGGTATTGTTGCAGAACCGTGTGGACTCGGCCTAACCTAACTAATATATCCCGCCCCCATATAACCTTAATATCGCATTAAATAGACACCGTAATGATTCATCGAACGTTCGAGAACAATCGAGTTCCATTGGAATGGAGGCGTACATACGAGAACATTCTAAACCTTCTCTATGCACCTAATGATCTAATGGACTATTCGAGACCTGTGCAAAGGAGAGAGAAAATAACCGGTCGACGCGTACAGTTTTACCGCGCTAAATTCAAAATAAATTCCTTTTAGATAAATAGTAAATAAGTGTTAAATAGTTATTTAAGTAGTTTTATCGTTATTGTTTTGTTACTTAGTGTAAAATAAATTGTGTTTTAATAAATTAGACTTTCTATCCACACGGAACCGTCGAAAAACGTAACAGTATGAACTGTACGTAATAAATCTTATTTTAACAAGAGATAGCGCCCCGCGCCCCACGAGAGATTTTGGTTTTTGAAACACCCTGTATAATTATATTAGTTAGACGTTAAAATATTAGAGAAAATATTAGAAAAATATACTTCATAAATATTGCCACAAACTTTATTGATAATAACAAAAAATCTAAAAACGTCCAAATATGTATATAAAACAATTTTTTCAGGAAATTTAGTTATTTTTAATTATTTATCTTATTTAACTGATTTCTATACAGGGTGTCCCAGAAATAAGTGCAAATATTTTAACTGGTAGTATAGTTCAACCCCAGAAACACGCCTACGAGGTTTTTTTCGCGAAAAAAAAATTGAAAATTCGAAATTTTTTGAATTTTTTTTTAGTTTTTAGTTAAAAAAACATAATTTCTTGATAATATGGAAACATAGGTATTAAATTAAATCTACAAGAAAGAAATTCCAGAAAAGATCCAGTGGATCCGCTCAAAATTCAAAATTTTACCAAAAAATCATTTTTTTTTGGAAATTTTCAAAGTAAAATAACTCCGTTATTTTGGACTTTTTATATTATATTATTTTGTTTTTTTTATCGAGATCTACCACTCCTTAAAATACTTGCACTTATTCTGGGATACCCTGTATATCTAATTGAGTCTTTCAACCTTTATTCACACTTTGTTGAATTTCTTCCAACAACAACTCTATCCTATCCTTCATAACGGGCTGTCCCCTCTTCGTTTTCTTATTCAATTTCTTAAATTTTTCTAATTTTTTCTTTTTGTATTCTTTAATGGCTTGTTCTTTCATCTCCTTCCTCTTTAGTGCCTCCGCTCTTCTGGTCTCTGCATCAGATTTCATCTGTTCAAACTTCTCCTGAGGTTTTAACTTCAATTTTTTCTTATTTTTATTTTCCTCCTTATATTCGTTATTTGATAAATCTTTCGTTTCATCATCTGATTCTTCATCATTTTCGTATTCCTTGTAAATTTTTTCTACATCGAATTTTTGGCTATTATCTTTTTTCATTGACTTTTGATATCTTTGAACCACCGCATGTTTCCTTTGATTTTCCCATTGTTGTATCTTGTATTTGTTGCTGTATTTTTTCAGTCTGTATGTCTTCTTGTCAAAGGGTTTCTTTTCAGTTTCCTTATCCTTTTTGCTTTCGTTCCTTTTCTGGTCATCAGATTTTTTGAAATTTTGTCCACGTTTTCCTAAATCTCTTTTTGTCCTCTTGTTCGATTTGATGAAGAAGCCATCGTTTTTCTTTTTGGTCACTTCGTTCACTTCCTTGTGTATATTTTTGTTCCTTGGTGCCATGGTCTTGTCACCTGGAAGCAGGGATGGGAAATGTCACAATTTATCATGTTAATACATTCACTGAATTTTAACGCGTTTACTACGTAGTAAATTAATATTGGAATTAATAATTAATATTAATAAATTAATATATACAGGGTGTTTCAATATTCCGTGGACAGAATTACTTCGTATTTTTGGAATCAAAATAAGGACATTGGACACAATTTACCTCTATACCGGGTGTTGCATCGTCAGACGGGACATAGAAAATCCCATGTAATTTTTAATGGGGTCAAATATTGGCTTCCCTAATTATTTTAGAGAATAATTCTATTTAGGTTTATTGAAGAGCACTAAAACCCACATTTCAAAAGAATAACTTTAGATATTTTTGATTAGCTCGAGTTATCGCCGATTTCTTTTTAAATATTTCTCCTTTCTTATGGCCCTGCATTTACTTATGAGCACCAGTCAAGGTAAAAGATAACTGTCAAATGAAGTTGTCATTTTAGAAATTTACCTATTTAGTGCTTTATTATTATTGAAAACTCATTCCTACATCGGAAATCTTAAAGATGTATTTATAAATACAAATTAATATGGATTAAAGTAAAATAAAGTAATCAATTACAAGGTTAATTATAGTATTATTACAATATTCAATAACTTATTAATTTAGGTACTATTAAATTGTTAGAATTTTAGGATTTACGAAGATGTTCAAATATTCCTCCATCGACTGCAAGACAATAACCCAGGCGATCATAAAATAATTCTCTTCTTACATTCGCTATGTGGAAATGGGTACTATGTGCCGGGCAGCCATCCATTTGGTACCAAACTTCCTGATTTTCCCTAGCGGCATCATGTAAAGCAGGTAAAATATGATTTTCGAGTAGTTCCAAATAATATTCTACATTAAAATTTCGCGTAAGAAATAATGGTCCGATAATATTGTGTCCGAATATCCCTGCCCAAACATTTACTTTCTGTGAATATTGCGTCTTTGTTTCGACAAACCTGTGTTGGTTTTCTTTGTTCCAATATCGATAATTTTGAACACTGGGTTCATTATTTAAGGTAAACGTGCATTCGTCAGTAAAACATATGTTTTTTAAAAATTCCCTATCCGTGTTTGCTCTTTCCATCATATCAAAACAAAACGCCTGCCGCCGTATTTCGTCCCCATTTCGTAGCTCTTGGTGCTTTTCATATTTCGAGGAATAGTATTTATGCCGTTTCAAAATTCGAAACGCTGTAGTATGATCTATTCCTATTTCATCTTCAAGTTTCCTTGTGCTGACCTTTCCATCGTTCTCTTCCACGCACAATAAAACTTCCACGTCGGTATCATTTCTTGCATCTTCTCTTTGTTCCTGCCTTGCTTTACATCTGCAATTATTTATTAGGGTACCTTTGGTCTCAAATCTCTGGATATTCCTTGCGATTGTAGATTTTCCAGGTATCGGTATATTCGGATACAGAGCAGCAAACATGTCCGACACCTTTTGATAACTATTTCCTTGATAATACCATTTAATCATCAATACTTTTTCTTCGGTACTGTAGTTCATGGCTAATATTTTCGATGTAGGTATGAGTTTTTAATAATAATAATAAAGCACTAAATAGATAAATTCTGAAATGACAGCTTCATTTGACAGTTCTTTTACCTTGACTAGTGCTCATAAGTAAATACAGGGCCATAAGAAAGGAGAAATATTTAAAAAGAAATCGGCGATAACTCGTAAACGGGCTAATCAAAAATATTTAAAGTTATTCTTTTGAATGTGAGTTTTAGTGCTCTTCAATAAACCTAAATAGAATTATTCTCTAAAATAGTTAGGGAAGCATTTGCAGTTATTAATTGACCCCATTAAAATTTACATGGGATTTCCTATGTCCCGCTCGACGATGCGACACCCGGTATAATTTGTTTTGTTTTATTTTTTTTTAGTTTTCATTATAAGATTATATGGCAATATACAGGGTGAGTCTCAAATAAGTGCAAATATCTTCAGGGCTAGTAGATCTCGATAAAAGAAACATATTTTCTGTTTGCCGTTTTTCAAATTTTTCAAATAAACCCAAAATAACTGAGTTATTTTATTTTCCAAAATTTCAATCTTGATTTTTTCTAATTTCAATTGATTTTTTCTAAAATTTTAAGAACCACTGGATCTTTTCTGGATTTTCTTTCTTGCAAATTTAATCTACTACCTATGTTGCCATAATATCATATTAGGAAATTATGTTTATAACTAAAAACTAAAAAAGAATTCCAAATTTTCAATATTTTTTACGCAAAAACAACCTCATAGGCGTGTTTCCGGGGTCGAAATATACTACCCCTAAAATATTTGCACTGATTTAAGACTCACCCTGTATAAATTAAGTAATAATCAAAATGTAAAAATCTGAATTGCTATCAAAAATCACTAACTAAAAGTGTAGTTTTAAAATGGATATAGAGATATGCTTAAGAGCTTTTGCAGACGACACTGTTTTTGTTAAAAGAGGATCGTTTTTGAGAGGAAGTTGAAATCAAAGTAAACAGATCAATAAAAGATTTGGAGTGGCCAGACGATGACATAATAGTGAATTTAAATAAAATCAGTTATGTGCATTATTAATTTATTGTAGCATGCTCAAAAACAAAGTTAAATCTCATACTAAAATATTATATGGCTGCTTGAGAGAGGCTGCTATTAATTTTATTGATTACAATGACATAACTGATCTACTATAAAAAAATAAATAAATGCCTTTATTGTCAAAAATTTTTTCTATTTGTAGACAAAGGTAAACTAACAAACAAAGTAAAAAAACAAGGTACACAAACAAACAAATAAAAGATAATACAAAACATTATACAAATAATATTGTCAGTCTTATTGTTAAAACGAGGGGTAAACCGCAGAGGAATTATGGTGTACACTATGAAGGAATTCTACAGGAATTCCAAGGAATTCCAAGGAATTACGAGGAATTCCAAGGAATTCCATAGGAATTACTAGGAATTCCAATTATTTCCGTAAGAATTCCAATGAATTCCAAGGAATTCCTTAGAAATTTAGAGGAATTCCACAGGAATTAAGAGGAATTACAAGCAACTTTATAAAAAATTAACGAACATTAGTAAACCATGAATACTATAATAGGTAGTACTAAATTTAAAGAAAAACGTTTTGCAGGCGATTTTTTACTATCCGTTTTTCGTTTTCGCTTCCAAAATTTCCCAATATCAAATATCTACAGGTTAGATATTCTTTTAATTTAATATTGTACCCTCGATTATATATCTAAAATATTTTCCAATAGTACGGCCGAACCACCCCCGAGAGATCTACTTATAACGTTCCCTGATTTCGCCATTTTAAAGAAACCCTCATAAGATTTTTTTATTCAGTACTCCAGAAAGTGTAAAGTTGATTTTTTCATTTCCTCGGAATAATACCTAGGTATATACTATAGGGAAATTAATACAACTTTAGGTGCACTTCATCAATGATACCATGCGTAATCTTATGGAATTTACTGGTGATCGTATTATGACGTGCAACTGAAGTTTTATTAATTTCCTTTCCTATAGATACGAGTATAACTAGGTACCTATCATTTTCAAAAAATCCCGAGAAAAATTAATTTTAATAAGTAAGTGCCGACATATTTCCAGTATTTTTACCTCATGATCCCCTATTAGTCCTAAAATTTAACTAAAAAAACGTAAATCTCGTAATAGTACTTTTTATTGTTAGATCTAGTACTTATAGAGACATTAGACATTTATAAAAATCACCAGAAAATTCATAGCGGAACTGCGAAACCGAGGTGGCAACGCTGGTTCAGACTGAAAGAGTTACCGAGTTCGTACCAAGGAATTCCAAGGAAGACCTTGAATGATTGACCTTGACCTTGAAGACCAGGAATTCCAAGGAATTCCGAAGGAATTACGAGGAATTCTGAGGAATTATTTGAGTAAAAGGAATTACGGTGTACACTTTTCCCTCTGCGGTTTACCCCTCGTGTTAAAATAAACATTTATAAATGTTTATAATGTCAAAGAACAAAAAAATAAAAATAATATTCAAAGATATTTAGCTAGTTTATAGTAAAATATCAATGACCTCTAAATAAATTCATTTCGATGTCATTAGTAAATATAGCAATAGCAAACATTAGACCAGTGTTTACAAGATCAAATTTGATTTTCAAAATATAATTCATTTACGGCGTAGAAAGCCTTGTCTAGTAAATAAGAGTTCAATGCTTTGCGAAATGAAAAAGATGATGTTATGGATTTGATTTCAAATGGCAGGTGAGTGTGCATTTTTTTCGAGTTGTATAATATTGAACTTTTAACTAACTCTGAGCGTGGGGTAGGTAGATAAAGATCTTGATAAAGAGTCAATATTTTTAATTTTTTAAAAAAGTCCCGGCAATGAGTTCTGCTGTTACATGTTTACGTATTAGGCAAACGGATTCAAATATAAATAAGGAAGGAAGAGTCAATATTTTTTAATTTTTTAAAAAAGTCCCGGCAATGAGTTCTGCTGTTTAGTCCCAAGTCCCAGTGAATATCGAACAGCTCTCTAGCCTGAAAATGTGGTCAAATTGAGTCGCACAACACGTACCCCAGAATGGAAGGGCATACCTGAGGTGCGACTCAAAAAGTGCATAATAAACAGTTCTAGCCACTGACAAGTTAAGCTCCTTAGAAACAGACCTTAATGCAAAACAGGCAGAGCTCAATTTTTTCGACAAAGCTTCGATATGTATGTCCCATTTCAGAGAATTGTCCACAACAAGCCCCAAGAACTTTACAGATTTGACGACGTCAATGGTGGTGTTGTTAAGTACAAAAGGCTGCAACGAGTTTTTACACGACAAAGCTTTAGTTTTAGAAACGTTGAGACTCAGGAGGTTCGTTATATACTTTAGTAATGTAATGATTATCATTTTGATAGTAATAGAAATATGTATGTAGCAGGAAAATGTCTCAATTGGAGTACTCTACGCACAGCATATT